TATATAGTTATGTATATATATATGTATGTATATATATATTATAATATTTGGTCATTTGTATTTTACGTTTCCTAAATTATAAAAAAAATAATTTAAAAAAGTAAAAACTTTGTGCACACAAATATTGGCAAAGAAACTACTTATTAAATGTTTTAGCTTTTATAGTTTAATCCTGCATCTTTTAATCAGTAGTTGCACATTTTTTTATATTGAAAATATAGGATAGCTACAGCAATAGCACATGGTGTTGTGAAAAACGACGGCAATAAAGTGAAAAATTGGAATGAGAAATTCACACAGAAACCCAAAGACACAGAGATTTACGTGGATCGACAAATTGCCTACGTCCACGGAGTTGCGGAGGATTTTATTAACTTGAGGATTACACCTGTTGATCGTCTCAATTATAGAATAATCCTCTCTTCTCTTTTTTTATTTATCTCACTACCCTTGAGCAACAACGCCGAAGAAGAAGAACCAAGGAACCGTAAGCTTTCAATTTTTTTCTGCTTCCCGTGAGCTCTAGGACCAAGAAGAAGAACATCGAAGAAGGAAGCAGCCTTTCAAATCCCATTGTGCTTCGACCGAAATTGCTTTGCAACCTTCCTCTTTTTCTTTGCTTCGAACACCTTCATTCTTTCGATTGGGAGAGGCTTCCTTCGGTTCGAATGGATGAGGCAATACTCCCTTCGGTGATGAGCTGCGGTCCTTTAATAGTCGCGAAGACCAAGCAATCGGGCGGGGTCCACAATACTCAAGAATTCTCTTACTTTGAGATTGGGACACTGGCTGTACCATCCACTAACCTCATTGCCCTTTTCTCCAAAATTGATTGCCTTCAACTTTGCAACTCAAATCCTCAGTTTTCAAGCTAGAAGACCAACTGAATCATGCATAACTTCAATTTCTCGAGAGTAACACCCCTATTCAACATATCAACATCAACGTAGCCCTATACCTTCAAGCTATTTCCTAGGTTACTCATGTATCTGCTTACAATTCCCACTTCACAGGCAATATCTTGCCTCTGCTAAAAGCCTTTTACAATAAGTCTAACATTGTACCTCTTATTGTCATCATGCTCAGTCTTTACTCGGTACACCCACTTATTGTGTAATTCCTTCTTCCCCGGTGAAATTTCTGTCAACTCCCAAGTTTGATTACCTAATAAGGAATACATCTCTTCTTTCATGGCCAGCTATCACTTGCTCGAATTTTTATCTTGCAAGGTTTTTTCATAACATTGTGGTTCTCTACCATATGTCTGCAGAATGTAGTTTAAAATCAGTGAGTAACACTGAGGAGAACTTCTATTCCTGACTAACCTATGAATAGTAGCTATAGAGGTGGATGACTCTGAAATTGTCTACGGAGCAATAGAAATGGGTGCCCCGGAGTCACTCTCCTCATCACTTCTATCACTGCCCTGCACTGTGACCTTTAGTAGATCAGCAAACCTTACTAACTCGGATTCCTGATGAGTTGCTTCAGAAACTTTACCAACCTTGTCCTTGTACATGATCTTCTCTTTAAAAATCAAATTTTTGGTTCTTAAGATCCTGATCATCCCAAAAATGATAATCAAATGCCTTGTATCCATAGCCAATGAAATAACATTCTTTGACTTAACCTTGAGCTTGCTACGAGCCTCAAGATTAATAAGAACATAAGAAAGACACCCAAAAGTCTTAATGTGAGAAAATTTGACAGCTTTCTCACTCTAGACCTCCTCAGGTAATTCACAATTTAATGGAACAGATAAACCTTTGTTGATCAAGTAAACTGTAGTGATGACTGCATCTGCCTAGAAAGTTTTTGGTAGTCTGACATGCAATCTCTTGCCTCTAGCCCACTCATTGATAGTTGTGTTTATACATTTTGTAATTCCATTTTGTTGTGATGTCCACGGAATTGTCTTCTCCATTCTGATTCCCTGAGCTACATAATACTCCTTGAACCCACAATCAATATACACAACACCATTATCAGACCTCAAACATTTCAATTTTAAGTCTGTATCTTTCTCGATCATGGTCTTCTAAGTCTTGAACACATTAAATATATTTGATTTATGCTTCAAGAAATAAACTCACACCTTTTTGTTATGGTCATCAATGAACGTGGCATAATAATGAGAGTCTCCAAGAGATGCCACT